TATGTCTCAGAAAGCAACTTCTATTTTGCAGATTGGTTTCAGTGCTTATAAAATGGGCCACATATTTCTCAAGTAGGGAAGTTTCTCATGACACCTGTGTTTGAAAAGTAGCTTGCAAACTCACTGAAAATTTTACTTTTTATTTTAGATTGTTCTTAGAGAGCAGATGATCCCAGTCTGCCGTCATTTTGGCAGTTGTTGCAGTAATATTTTTCCACCTGGGGCTTGACTCAACCAGTTTCTGTGATTATCAGGCTCACGGGTGGGGAGAGTGCAGGAAATAGAGAAAAAGTTCACGTTTGTATTTAACTACATTTTCTTCTCTCTCTGAAGAACTTAAGGTATATAGAGTCACATAGAACCACATAGGAGTATATCTCTCATAAAAGAAAAGATTGAGAACCCTTGATCTATGTGGAGGGTAGATCAGTAATATTGCTCCTCCCAGAGGTATTCCAAAAGGCTAAGCAGAGAGAATCTAGTCTCTAATCAGTGCTTGTTTATTCACAGCCCTAAACCAGGCTGTAGAACCCAACATAATCCTACCCACTCTGGGTGAATCCATTTTAGTAGAAAATTTCTCCAAAGTTGATCTGATTGTAAATATTAAACTGACATCTTTATGTTGCAGGTAAAGGACCTGGATAATCGAGGCTTGTCAAGGACATAAATGTCATGTCCAGCTCTGATATGCTTCGCACTGGGCACATCACATTTAGGACGTTGAAGATTTTTTTTTTTTTTTTTAATATGCAGTTTGTAAGAACAAAGCTGGATGGCATTAAAATTGTCTGAAAGTTTTGTCCTGGGCAGTATGGGCTGGGCCAAATGAAATGATTTTTATAATTCTAAACAGGTTACCAAATGAAATGTCATGGCTTTACTTTGGTCAATTAAAGGGGGGAATTTTTTTTTAAAATGTGCCTTATTTGTTTTGACTGACAACTGATTTGAGGAAGGCAAAACTATCCTAGGTTGCCAGAAGGACATAAGCAGACCTTGTCCATTCTCTTAGCTCCCTAAATTACCAAATAGAGACGTCTTTCTCAAATCAGGAAAACTATCAAAGACCAATTCAGATCCTACATCTACAGACAGTTTTGTCATACTCTTTGCATTGCAGCACCTAGTACAATTCCTTGCAAATAGCGTGGCTCAATAAATTTTTATTGAATGAATAAATGTGGGACCAGAAGAGTGCCTTTCTGGGCTAGAAAGGCAGGTGTGTTGCTACCATGTCTCTGTTCTCCATGTCTCTTATCCTTAGATGCTCTCTGACTTTATAAATCAGCAGTTTTGAAGACTCAAGACAAACAGTGAAATTATTGGTTTATCAATGGAGAGGAAAAACTCTTCCAGCGTTACATATAGAGCTTGATGGTCAGTAGGTGTTTTTGAAATCAGCTTAAATATAATCATACGTATCAATTTGAAATTGAACTTTTCAGCACTCTCACTTATTCATGACACAGAAATGACCCTTTACTCAAAACTCTTGTGGTTATTCAAAGGTGAGCTTCTTTTTCCCTTAGTCTTAGCGTATTTGTTGCTATTGTATATTGCTAACAAGTTTAATTACCTAATTTTGAAGCTCTTTCCAAATAAGATACAAATTAAAAAGGGAAGCATTGCTAGTAACAGGTCCCTAGAGAGCAGTGCCAGCCTGCCTGCAAGAAAAGAGAGGAGACACTTCTTAAAAAGTTTTAAGCCTGGGCAACACAAGGAGATTGTTTCTATGAAAAATAAAAATTAGTCAGGTATGGTGGTATACACCTGTAGTCCCAGCTACTTGGGAAGATGAGACTGGAGGATCACTTGGGCCTGGGAGGTTGAGGCTACAGTAAACTGTGATTGTGCCACTGTACTCCAGTCTGGGCCCTAGTGAAATCCTGTCTAAAAAACAAAATAACTTAACTGGAAAGCACAGTGGTCCTTGAGGACACTTAATGTCAGGACAAAGAGCCTATGACATATATCACTGATGTATATGAACCCTAAGTCATTAATAAAATAAAAGCTAACTGTTTAGTGTTACCCATTTAAGGAAACAGGAGGAATTGTGTAACTTTTAGATTAGTCATAGTGGTGCTCCTAAAGGATACGCTGTTGTATATTTGTATAGCCAGGGCACTTAGCCTTCCAAACTAATTCATATACCATGTTCTTCAACTGTGGGTGAGGTTTTAGACTTAAGATTTGATTTACTATATGTAAATACATTACTTGATTTATATAAAGAATTCATCTTTAGTGGAAGAGGTTATTCTGAATTATTTATCAAGATGATTAATACCAGTTAGAAATTATTAATGATCTTCCTTTATACTATAAATAGGATAACCTTTTAACTTGTCTCTATAGTTGTTGCTCTGAAGATCTTAATTTTACTTTCTAGGCTACATGAAGCTATCTTTTTTAAAAGTGTACTTTTCATTTTCACTGTTATTGTGCACTTAGTATAAAAAACTCAAATCTAGGCCAGGTGCAATGGCTCATGCCTGTAATCCCAGCACTTTGGGAGTCTGAAGTATGCAGATCACTTGAGCCTAGGAATTCAAGACCAGCCTGGGCAACATGGCAAAATCCCATCTCTACAAAAAATACAAAAACTAGCTGGGTATGGTGGCACGTGCCTGTAGTCCCTGCTACGTGGAAGGCTGAGGTGGGAAGATTCCTTGAGCCTGGGAGGTGGAGGTTGCAGTGAGCCAAGATCACATGCACTCCAGCCTGGGAGAGAGAGTGAGACCCTGTCTTAAAAAAACAGAACAAAAACTCAATTCTAAAAGGCAGTAATGCTATTTTCTACTCCCTAGTGGCAACCACTTTAAACTCTGATTCTCACATTACTTACTTTCAATACCATAAATAATTGCTTTATTTTTCTATGTTTGGTATTTCAATTTTAGGCATCATGTGTAGAATCTGTGATAAGGAAACTGTAGAATTAGCTTTTTCACCATCCCATTACTTCTATGAACAGACATATTTGTGCTATCTATTACAGTTCTTTTTTTTTTTTTTTTTTTTTTTTTTTGAGATAGAGTCTCGTTCCCTGTCTCCCAGACTGGATGCAGTGGCGTGATCTTGGCTCACTGCGGCCTCTGCCTCCCTGGTTCAAGCAATTCTCCTGCCTCAGCCTCCTGAGCAGCTGGGATTACAGGTGTGCGTCACCACTCCCGGCTAATTTTTGTATTTTTAGTAGAGACGGGGTTTCATGATGTTGGTCAGGCTGGTCTTGGACTCCTGACCCCATGATCTGCCCGCCTCAGCCTCCCAAAGTGCTGCGTGAGCCACCGCACCCGGCTGAAATTCTTCTTTATGTTCCGTTTGGATTGGTTTACTCTCAAGGTTTGCTGCACACCTCTTGGGTTGATCTGTCTTTTCATTGTCACATTGTGTGTTAATCTCCTGACTTCTTTCTTGATTTATCACCTTTAAGTGCCTTCCTAAGAAAATGTGTGTGAGAGAGAAATCTCTTGAGAACTTTTCGTGTCTCTTGTCATATTCCATTGATAGGTTGGCTGGGTACAGAATTCCAGATTGGGAATGATTTTTCCTTAGGACTAGGAAGGCACTGACCTATCTTTCATATGTTGAGAAATGTAATGCTGTTCCAATTTTTTTTTTTTTTTAATGTATCTATTCCTTCTCACCTTCAACCCAGACCTCTTAGGATCTTCTCTTTATAATACTTTGAAATTTTCCCAATGTTGTGTCTTGAGTGGGTCACCTATTGTGCTGAGCAGTTTGGAATTTTATGTATGGAAAGTCAAGTTCCTCAGTTCTGGAAAATATTCTTGCGTTATATATGCAAGATATTAAGAGAGGAAAGAGGATGGAAATCCCAACCCTCTTTTTCTTTCTGGAAAATAGTTATTTGGATGGTGGACTTCCTGAATTTATCTCCTAATAGTCTTATATTTTACTCTTCTATTTACTCTTGTTCCTTCTCAGAGATTTCCTCAACTTTATTTATTTATTTTATTTTATTTTATTTTTTTTTTTGAGACGGGGTCTCGCTCTGTCACCCAGGCTGGAGTGCAGTGGCCGGATCTGAGCTCACTGCAAGCTCCGCCTCCCGGGTTCACGCCATTCTCCTGCCTCAGCCTCCCGAGTAGCTGGGACTACAGGCGCCCACCACCTCGCCCGGCTAGTTTTTTGTATTTTTTTAGTAAAGACGGGGTTTCACCGGGTTAGCCAGGATGGTCTCGATCTCCTGACCTTGTGATCCACCCGTCTCGGCCTCCCAAAGTGCTGGGATTACAGGCTTGAGCCACCGCGCCCGGCCTTCCTCAACTTTATTTTCTAATCTATCTATTTTTTTTTTTTTTTTTTTTTTTTTTTTTTTTTTTTTTTTTTGACGATCTCCTCTTCGCCCAGACTGGAGTGCATGCGCGATCTCGCCACTGCAGCTCCGCTCCCGGTTCACGCCTTCTCCTGCTCCCTCCGATATGGACTCAGGCCCCACCACGCGTAATTTCTTTTGTATTTTAGTAAGACGGGTTTCACGTGTTAGCCAGGATAGTCTCGATCTCCTGACCTCGTGATCCGCCCGCCTCGGCCTCCCAGAGTGCTGGGATTACAGGCTTGAGCCACCGCGCCCGGCTCTAATCTATCTATTTAAAATAGCTTCCTTTTTTCGTTTTTTTCTTCTATATTTTTAATGCCCAGAGGGGTTGGGTTTTTTGTCATTGTTTGACTATTCCTTTGTTTTGATGTCTTTCATATTAAAGACTTTCTCAAATTCTTGCTAGTCTGCTCCTCTTTAAGAGTGGGACCCTAGGCTGGGTACAGTGGATCACGCCTGTAATCCCAGCACTTTGGGAGGCCGAGGCAGGCAGATCACTTAAGGCCAGGAGTTCGGGACCAGCCTGGCAACGTGGCAAAACCCTGTCTATACTAAAAATACAAAAATTAACTGGGTATGGGGTACACACCTGTAATCCCAGCTACTGGGCATGAGAATTGCTTGAACCCGGGAGGCAGAGGTTGCAGTGAGCAGACATCATGCCACTGCACTCTAACCTGGGAGATAGCAAGACTCTGTCTCAAAAAAAAAAAAAAAAAAATTGGGACCCAAAAAAGCTGATTGAAAAGTCTGTTTGTAGGGGTTGATGGGGATTAATAATGTGGGTTTCAGTCTACTGTGATCTGGCTGGGCTGTTACACTGGGAAATCCATGATACTGATATTTTATATGTTTATCTTTTACATAGGTAAGATTCCCTTGAGAAGGCTTGCACATTCTCTTACTCAAGGATGTAAGCCAGGCAGTCAGCTTTCTGGGAGTAGAGTAGGGAAAGAAGTTTTAACAGGCTCAACCTTCAGTGGATAAAACTGAAACCCTCCGTTTTCAGTAAGGTGCCCAAGCTTTTAACTGTGCCTGATGGTCTTCAGTTCACATACTACGCATTTACCCACTTAAATCTTATACGAGCTTTGGGGAGGGACAGTTCCTTGGTTACACAGAAAGGGAAGGGATACAGGGATCTATTTGCTTTTTATGTAGCCTTTAAACCTACCCCTTTTAGCCGCATTTTTACCTCCATCTTCAGTTACCTGGTGTCACCAGTTCAACTTGAGCTTTTTGAGAGATCTGTGATGTTAATTCTGCTTTCCATTGCTAGCTTTGGGATTGATCTTCATTACCTTTCATCTAAAGGCTTTCTACTTTCCAAAATGTGACTCATACTCTGTTCTTATGGGTTCTTTTAAATATTGGTATCCTTTACTATTAAAATATTTTAGTAAGCTTTCAGAAGAGAATAGAGGCTATTTCCATGTATTCTGTCTTTCACTGGTATTCTGCCGGAGTCTGTATATCTTATTTTTTTCAGGCTAAAAAGACTCCCATCAGACACACAGGAAATCTGCAGGTCTTCCTTTTCTTCATACTCTTTGTTTTCAGCACACAGTGAGGAAACAAGAGAAAATGGGATAAATGATCTAAAAACTTGCTTTTATTTTTATACCAGGCCCTGTGGCTCACTTTTGTAATCCCAGCGACTTGGGATGCTGAGGTAGGAGGATCACTTGAGCCCAGGAGTTCCAGGCTGCAGTGAGCTAAGACTGCCCAGTTGCACTCCAGACTGGGTGACAGAGCAACACACCCTGTCTCCAAAAACAACAAACTGTAAAAAGATTACATAAAGCCTAATCTGTGATGTCATGATTCAAAACTATACACATAAGCATTTTGAGAGCTTTTTCCTTGATTTTTTTCCTGATTTTGCTTCTTTAAAAGAAATGTGTGTTTTTGTTGTTGGTTGTTTGTTTAGAGGGAGTCTTGCTCTGTCGCCCAGGCTGGGGTGCAGTGGCGCAGTCTCGGCTCACTGCAGCCTCAGCCTCCTGGGTAGCTGGGATTATAGGCATTCGCCATCACGCCCGGCTAATTTTTGTATTTTTAGTAGAGATGGGGGTTTCATCATGTTGGTCAGACTGGTTTTGAACTGCTGACCTCAGGTGATCCACCCGCCTCAGCTTCCCAAAGTGTTGGGATTATAGGCATGAGCCACGGGGCCCAGCCTTGAGTAACATTTTATACTTGTTTTACTTTGTTACTATTATCATAATAGCTAGTTATGCTTAGTGTTTATATGCGGCCCAGTCTTAAGGACTAAGAAAAAAAATATATATAAAATAAACATAAAAATATATATATATACGGAATTATGCTGTTGCCCAGGTTGGAGTGCAGTAGTGCTATCATAGCTCACTAACCTCTAACTCCTGGACTCAAACGATTGCTCTGCCTAGGCCTCCCAAGTAGCTAGGGCTACAGGGACACACCACCAAGCCCAACTAATTCCTAAAATTTATTTGTAGAGATGGGGTCTCCCTATGTTCCCCAGGCTGGTCCTGAACTCCTGGCCTCAAGCCATTCTCCTGCCTCGCCTTCCCAAAGTGCTGGAATTATAGGCAGGAGCCACTGCGCCCGGCCAGTGCTGGAGAATGTAATGGAGATGATCCTGCCTATCCTTGAGTTCCAGTCTAGTTTACTGTCAGAGAATACTTATTTCAATTTTTCCTATTTTGTTCTCGAGTCTCTTTCCTCAGATTTACTTTTCTATTTAAATGACGTTCGCGGCTTTTAAATTTGCATTGTAAAATTTATTTTGGCTCTCCCCGCCTGTTTTTTGCACATTAAAAATGAAAACTTTTGTAGAACTAAGGTAAGCAGATGGTCTTCCTGCAAAAAGATTGGGCTGAACTAAAGCATTGCTTTGGAGCTGGTTCACAGAAAAAAGGCAAAACTGGTTATCCCGACTTCAAGCTCCAAAATAAACTGCTTTCTTTCTCCGGGAAGTTTCCCCCGCCACACACACTTGACTGCGTGGCCAGTCCTTTCGATGCCTCTCGCTCCCAACACCGAGTTCCTCTCATTTCTTCACAGTCAGCTCTCAGCTGCTGCTGCTAGTTTCTCGGCTCCAGCACCACGGGTACAGCACTCTGAAGTTCACAAAGCACTCTGCAGCACTGACTGTGATCCTCACAGTCCTGTCCGGTGGCCTCCCGCAGGTGGTACTGCAGCTTTTCAGGCCCAGAGTGGCCAGGAGCTAAGCCCGCAGACCGGCCTGGAAGCGCAGCGCGGACAGTCGCGCGACCCCGCGGCATGGAGGCCTGGGCTTCACCCAGAGGCGCTCGAGCACCGCCCAGCCGAGCCTCACGCCGGATGCCACTTCATATTTGGGCCCAGAGCTCAATTCGCACCGATGCGGTCCGCCGTCCTTAAACCTATTCAGCCAGAATCTCTCCCCGACTGTAAGGCAACTCTGGGCGGGAGCGGCAACCTCTCGGCGTCAGTCTTTTGGAGCCGCCGACATTCAGAGAGGCAACACCCGGGAACGCGCGCTGTCTTGCTTTACGGCACGGGTGCGCGAGTTTGCGGCAGCGTGACGCCAGCAAGTTTTGGCGGGAAAAGCGCTGCATTTGGATTCCTGCAGTGGTGGGCAAAGGACAGTCCGGTGAGCAGGGGCGGCCGGTAGAGTAGGAAAGGCTTCTAAAGAAGGAGTTCGGGGTCTAGATTAGCGAGGGAGGGCACGGTGGGAGAAAGTTAGCATTGACTAGCGCAGGGGATTGGAGAGACTCCTGCGGAGGGGCGGTTTCGGAGGGTGGAGGAATGGTACCAGGAGATTCCCGTTGTAGAGAGGGGGCAGGAGGGACTAACACACTGCTAGCTAAGAACCCCAAGGAAGGGTCCCAGCCCTTCCTTCCGCCTCTCGGGGCAGTTTGGCCCCGCCCCGGCCTCTGGGACGGGTGGGGGTGTGGATGGGGATGGGAATTGGAACTGAGCAATTGGGAGGAGGCGCTGCCGCAGGCGTCTTCTGCCCGGTTCCGCTCCCTCTATCCCCTTTCTTTCTTCCCCAGACCCCCACCTGTCCCTCCTCCTTCCCCAGTCGTTCACCGGAAAGCATTTGTCTCTCACCTCTTCACCACAACGATTAATTTCCTCTGAGGCCTGAGGAGGGCAGAATTTCAACCTTCGGTGTGCGTGGGAATGGCGATTGTGATTTACACGACAAAATGGCCAAGTTTAGAATAGTTCTTCGTGGTTGAAAGACTTGGATAAATGTAGATGAGATATAAGGGGAAGGCAAGAGCTGTTATTTTTCGTGGGGAATCCTGGGGAGAGGCGGGGCGCAGTGGCTTCACAGGTGATCTTACACTCACTTTCCATCTTTTCTGGATTCCTGCCTTTTACAGCCGAGCTCCGGTGGAGTCATGGCAGTGCCCTTTGTGGAAGACTGGGACTTGGTGCAAACCCTGGGAGAAGGTGCCTATGGAGAGTGAGTTCTTTTAACCTTGCCTTTGTCTTCTGAGTGCATATTCATTGTTTTGGAGTCTCATACTCTGGTGATTTAGAGAGTAGATGTTTGAGATCCAAGATTTTTGGCAACTGAAGTTACACAGTCTTTTTGCTAGGATTAATATTTTTTCCTTCCCTTAAAAAAAAAAAGTTTTCTTTGTAAAGAGCTGGAAGGGACACGAAGTTACTGTTTTCGTGCCCACACATTGCTTCTCAGAGTTTAAGCATCGTGATTAATGAGCAGACTCTGGAGATTGCCTGGTTTCAGATGCTCTGTCACATACTGGTCATGTTTTGTGATCTTAGGCAAGCTTCCTAATGTCATTGTGTACCTCTCCTTCACCACCTTCAGGGTGGCAATAATAGTATCTACCCCATAGGAGCTTAGGACAGTTACACAAGCACATATAATATGGGATTAATGCTCTTAAAAGTATGTGAGTAGAACATGTATATATGTGATGTGGCTTAGAATTACCTCAGTCTATTTTATGAAGCGTTTATTAAATGACTTGTGTGACAGCATAATGACGTGTTTGGAGGGTTAGCTATTGTATTTCACATTTTAGAAAGGAGTAGTGTCTGTTGAGAACACAGCAGAAACCACTTCCTTGGTTTCTCCTTTGTGGAAAAAGTAATAAAGGTAAAATAGTTTTGGATGCGTCATGTTTAATCTTTGGAAGTTTTAGAAGAAATGGAATTCTATAATGTTAAAACTTTTTTCCTTTTTAGAGTTCAACTTGCTGTGAATAGAGTAACTGAAGAAGCAGTCGCAGTGAAGATTGTAGATATGAAGCGTGCCGTAGACTGTCCAGAAAATATTAAGAAAGAGATCTGTATCAATAAAATGCTAAATCATGAAAATGTAGTAAAATTCTATGGTCACAGGAGAGAAGGCAATATCCAATATTTATTTCTGGAGTACTGTAGTGGAGGAGAGCTTTTTGACAGAATAGGTATGGAAGAAATTTAAGATAATTATTTTAAACAAATTTTTAAATTTGTTTTTTAAATCTTGGGCATGCTATTTGGTCGTTGTCCTTTCAAAATTGCTCATGCAACAGTGAAATTGGAATAAATTATCTTTAAAAAATTTTTCCTACTGGTATTAATACATAAAAGCATATATAGAGTCAATGAAAGAAAACTTCTTTCCCAAGTTATATAAGTGATTTTGGTTTAAGATTGGTGTCTTACAGAATTTAAGAGTGACAAAATGTAGTTTTATGATACATCATAAATGCAGTGTATCCTAAATGCAATGTATTGCCTACACAATTTTTTCTTTGTAGACATTCTAGTTATATGAAATCATTGTATACATTTACAGATCTAAAATAGCATGCTGTTTCCTCTTGGTTCACATGAAATAATTGAGAATTTTCTAGGATTGCTTTTTGTATATTAAGTAAATTCTGTGTTTGCTATTAATACTTAAACATTCTATGTAGAATCAAAGGACCGATATTTCAGAACACTGAGAAGTACATAAAATAAATCTGGATGTAAATTTATAATTTAAAGCTATTGTATTAACAGTTAAAAACTGATAAAGAGGTACTAGGATCTCCAGTGTGACTCAGGAGAGAGTTGAGGGTAAAAGAAATGGAGTTAATGAGAGAGATCAAAATATAAAAAGATAGCTGATAAAAGAATTTTCATAATGAAACTGTGTTTCATGAAGGACCTCACAGGCATTCGTGGTTTTGTACTGTGAGACTATATGAAGTTTAAATCTGAGCCAGGTGTGGTGGTACATGCCTGTAATCCTAGCTACTCAGGAGGCAGGAGAATTGCTTGAGCTCAAGAGTTCCAGGTTACAGTGAGTTATGATCTCACGCCAGGGTACTCCAGCCTGGGTGAAAGAGCAAGACCCTATCTCTAAAAAAAAGTTAAATAATGAAAGAAGTATAATCTCTAAAATATTTAGTGAAATTGGCTTAGATTTGCCCAGACTTCCCCTTTGGCATTATATTTCAGGAATGAGAAAAATAATTAGCATAGCATTTAGAAGAAATAGGGGAGAATTTGAAGGTTACTGAATCAGGGTTAGTATAAGAGGAAGCAGGGGCTTTCAAGGCATGGCTTACATTCTTGATTTGGATATGGGTTTTTCTCTTTATAATTTTTCTGTAATACTACTTTTGCCATCTAACAGAGGTAAATGTGAGTTAAGCCCTCTATGTGTTAGTGGACTCCTGAATCTTTTGTTGGCATTTGCTTCTCTTTGCCTAAGTACATTTGTAAATGTCTAAGCTTCAAATTAAGAAGCTATGTGGTTGCTACCTGATTATATTTAGTCAATAAACTTACTTTCATACTTGTTTTAGAGCCAGACATAGGCATGCCTGAACAAGATGCTCAGAGGTTCTTCCATCAACTCATGGCAGGAGTGGTAGGTATAGTTGTCCATGTCCCTTTTATTTAAAATTAGTATGAATACATTACATTACCAAATCCTAGTGTGTTTCCCTCTGCATCCCTCTTAGGTTTATCTGCATGGTATTGGAATAACTCACAGGGATATTAAACCAGAAAATCTTCTGTTGGATGAAAGGGGTAAGTTTAGCATTTTATCACTGGTACCTAAGTTATTTTAACATAGCCATACAAGGCAAAATCAAGTCTTTTGCATTACTGGAATTTCCAGACAAAATCTGAAAAATCAAGGAAATTTTGGAGACTTAGTATATTTGGAAATCACAAGTCTCATTATGCAATACAATTGCGGATCAGGTAGAGAAACCTGACCTAGGTGCAAGCCTAGCTCACTATATGTATAAGAATAATTTTTTTTTTTTTTTTTTTTTTGGTTACAGGATCTCACTCTGTCGCCCAGTCTGGAGTACACTGTATTATCAGGGCTTACTGCAGCCTTGACCTCCTAGGCTCAAGCGATCCTACCACCTCAGCTTCCCGAGTAGCTAGGACCAGCTACAGGCATGTGTCACCATGCCTGACTAATGTTTAATTTTTTGTAGAGATGGAGTTTCCTTGTGTTGCTCAGGCTGGTCTTGAACTCCTGGACTCAAGCAGTTTACTGGCCTTAGCCTCCCAAAGTGTTGGGATTATAGACATGAGCCACCATGCCTGGCCAAGAATAGTTTAAAATAATTCTTTAATGCATTAATAAAGGGAAGTTCCTGTAGAATACCCTGGACCTTAGTCTTGTCCTGTTCACTCTTTTTTTATGTATGACTTGGATAAATAGATAAGAAATTTAGTTATATTTTCTGGATGTCATCAAATTGAGAAGGATGGATAGCGAAAGCTTTAGCTTATAGGGTCAGAATCAAAAAGAAATATCAGCTGTATGAGGCAGTTTTTGTCTGGTTTGATGTTTTATTCTTAGTATTAGAATAGTGCTTAACAAATGGTTGGCTTTCTATTTTTGAAACAGAGTCTTGCTCTGTTGCCCAGGCTGGAGTGCAGAGACATGATCTCGGCTCACTGTAACCGCTGCCTCCCCGGTTCAGGTGATTCTCATGACTTAGGCCCCTGAGTAGCTGGGATTACAAGCCTGAGCCACCACACCTGGCTAATTTTTATATTTTTAGTAGAGACGGGGTTTTGTCATGTTGGCCACGCTGGTCTCGAGCTCCTGGCCTCAAGTGATCCGCCTCCCTTGGCCTCCCAGAGTTCTGGGATTATAGGTGTGAGCCACCGCACCCAACCTATACATGCTATTTTCTTACCTGCATATGGATTTTACTTTTTACCCCTTTACTTTGAGTTTCTATAACATAAAAATCTTTATTTAAAACTTAAAAAATTCAGATACACAAAAATTCTTATGTATAATATTGTAATGAAATGTTAATAGATATGTATCAATCCACCTGGTTTAAAAAGACAACATTATTTGTATATAAGGATGCTCACAGTGGCAATGTTTTTAATATAGCAGAAAACTAAACCCAAATGCCTATCAACAATAAATTATGAAATGGATGCCTTATATCTACAAGCAGTGACATGGATGAATTTCAGGTATATAATGATGTAGAGCAAAAAGAGACAGTTGCAAAAGAATTCATATGGTCTGATTCTATTTATACACAGTTTAAAAATATGTAAAACCTAGTATATTGTTGGAGGATGTTTTGTTTTGTTTTTTTGGAGATGGAGTCTCGCTCTGTCGCCCAGGCTGGAGTGCAGTGGCGCAGTCTTGGCTCACTGCAAGCTCCGCCTCCTGGGTTCACGCCCTTCTCCCGCCTCAGCCTCCCGGGTAGCTGGGACTACAGGTGCCCGCCACCACACTCGGCTAATTTTTTGTATTTTTAGTAGAGACAGGGTTTCACCGTGTTAGCCAGGATGGTCTCGATCTCCTGACCTCGTGATCCGCCCACCTCGGCCTCCCAAAGTGCTGGGATTACAGGCGTGAGCCACCGCGCCCGGCCTATTGTTTGAGGATGTAACCATGGAGGAAAAAAACACACAGAAAAGCAAGGGTGTTGTAATAAAACCAAATTCAGAATAGTGGTTACCTCTAAGAAGGTAAGGGAGGGAATGTATGTAAGAAAGTATTTACAGATTTCAAAGGAAATAGAACATTGTTTTCTAAAGTGAGTGGGTGTTTATTACATTGTTATTCCTTATATCTTGTATTAGTATACAAGATATAATTCTTTGTTTCTATTTAATATTTAGGAGTCTTTTTAAAAAAGAAATAAAATGTTACCAGTATTTAACGCCCTCCTGTTTATTTCATCACAAATATATTCTTCCTTTCTTTTTCTAAGAGCTAAACATATTCCTAAATTTAAATTTTATTATGTGCAATTCTGTAACATAGCTCAGTATTATGTTGCAGACATAACAAAATGAAGTCAAAAGAATATTTTAGTTATCCATTAGTATTTTAAGTAATTACTACTTATAAGTAATTTGGAACTCAATCTTGGTGGTTTGTCCAGATAGTGTCATATTTAGCTATTAAAAAGATAACTGGATGCAGTTGCTCATGCCGGTAATCCCAACACTTTGGGAGGCTGGCGTGGGAAGATTACTTGATCCTAGGAGTTTGAGACCAGCCTGGACAACGTAGACCCTGTCTTTATGAAAAATGTTTTTAAAAATTAGGCATGGTGGTGTACACCTGGAGTCCTAGCTACTGGGGAGGCTGTAGCAGGAGGATTGATCGCTTCAACCTAGGAGGGCAAGGCTGCAGTAAGCCGTGATCACGCCGCTACACTCTAGTCTGAACAGCAGAGTGAGACCCTTTCTCAACAAAAAAAAAAAAAAAAAAAAAGATAGTCACAGTAGCTACCTCCTCAGTCAGAGGTAAACATTTCATTGGTTTACATATTGTGTGAATGTACTTGATTGTTAAAGAATCAGTCCCCTATTTTGAGACATTTAAGTTGCTTCTAACTTAAAAAATAAAATAGGACAGTGATGACTTTTATCAATTTGTGTAAAGGGCCAGTATAAAAATTGGGTCATGCTATAATATTTTTTATGCCATTAGCCTTTTTGTCCCACTTACGCACGATTTCATGTCAGTATGTATAGATATACCTTGTTGATTTTTTTCAAAACCTACCTCCACATTTTCCATTGTGCAAACATACTGTAAGATTTAATCATTTATTGATGGACATTTATTTACAAATAATATTGCTATGGATATTCTTATGTTTGTGAATTTACGAGATTATTTCTATGGATATAGAAGTGGGAATTGCTAGTTCAAAGAGTGAATGTTTCACATTTTAGTATGTTTTGCCAGATTGCCCTCGGATAATAGAAGGCCTTTTCTAACTCTTAAGACTGGGTTAGATTCCTTTTCTCTAAGATCTTGTAGTGCTCTATATTTTTATAACCTTCATAACAGTTTTCTATTGTCAGTCTTCACTGATTTATCTGCTACCTGCATTGGCTGGCATAGTGTCTGTCACTAAGTTATAGTAGATCTTCACTAAATATAAGTTAAGTCCTGCCTGCAGTTTTTGTGTGTTGAAGATGGGAAGTTAGGGTGTATGTTTGGTCTTCTGAATTTTTTTTTGTACAGAATTTTTCCTCTTTTTCTCAGACTCCCTACTTTGAAAAAGAAAAAAATTATTGTGGTTTGTTAAATTTTGGTTTGTCTTCACATATTTTCTTCTGCCAACTGGGTTTGCTTGCTGCTGAGAAAGTTGTGCCTAACGTATTACTGATGTTTCCTTCCTGCCTTCCACCCTACCTGATGAAGGGCCTTGCTTTGCTTTCAGCTCAGGTTTAGAGTGCTCTTTTCCAGAAGGGCAGCACCTTCTGACTCCAACCTCTTGCTTTAATCTGGTCCAGACTGCTTTGCATGTTGGTTATACTTCTTTTAAGTTAATAGAAGAGATGAGGCCTTTTTCTACTTTTAGCATAGATGATGATGTATATTTTTTTAAATTTGGTCTATTTTGCTTATTTTAAGAGAAGTTCTACAAATCTTAAGTAACACTAGTGATTTTTTTTTTTCAGTAAAACTTAATTCCTGTAAGTATATCTGTTTGCAAAACATTTTTATTCAGTGCTGTCTTTTTTTCTTTTGGTTTAGATAACCTCAAAATCTCAGACTTTGGCTTGGCAACAGTATTTCGGTATAATAATCGTGAGCGTTTGTTGAACAAGATGTGTGGTACTTTACCATATGTTGCTCCAGAACTTCTGAAGAGAAGAGAATTTCATGCAGAACCGGTTGATGTTTGGTCTTGTGGAATAGTACTTACTGCAATGCTCGCTGGAGGTAAGAGCTCTTTAATCATGGTAAAATTCCTATAAAAAGTCGGATTAGTTATACTGAAATAAATGAAATAAACCAAGGAATTCATATTTATATAATAGTTTTTGTTTTCTTTTTAAGAGACAGGGTCTCATTCTGCTGTCCAAACTGGAGTATAGTGAGCTATTATAGCTCACTGCAGCCTCAGACTTCTAGGCTCAAGCAATCCTCTGGCCTCATTCTTCCAAGTAGCTAGGACCAGTGGTGCTTGCCACAAGACATCTGGCTAAGTTTTAAAAATCTATTGTAGAGATGGGGTCTTGCTATGTTGTCCAGGCTGGTGTTAAACACCTGGTCTCAAGCAAACCTTCTGTCTTGGCCTCCAAACTGTTAGGATTAAAGGCATGAGCCATGGCACCCAGCTTCTAGAGTAGTATTTTAATAGTCTCTTGATCAGTTTAGGTTGCTGTAACAAAGTATCATAGACTGCATAGCTTATAAACAACAAATTTATTTCTCACAGTTCTGGAGGCTGAAAGTATGATATTAGGAGTGCCAACCTGGTCATGTTTCAGCGAGGGCCCTCTTCCTGATTTGCAGATGGCTGTATTCCTGTGCTCTCTCATGGTGGACAGCCAAGAGAGCAGAAGCAGGTCCTATTGTGTTGTTGTTTTTTTTTTAAGACCAGAGTCTTGCTCTGTCACCCAGGCTGGAGTGCAGTGGTACAATCTCAGCTCACTGCAGCCTCTACCTCCTAGATTCTAGCAGTTCTGTCCCAGCCTCCCGAGTAACTGGGATTACCAGCACGCATCATCAATCCCAGCTGATTTTTGTATTTTGACTAGAGACAGGGTTTCACCGTGTTGGCCAGGCTGGTCTCAAAATCCTGATCTCAAGTGATCCACCCACCTCAGCCTCCCAAAGTGCTGTTTTTGGTTTTTTTGTTTTTTTTAAAATGACCAGATGTTGTGAGACATTGTGTCTGTTTTTTGTTTTGTTTTGTTTTGTGTGGTTTTTTTTTTTTTTTGAGACAGGGTCTCACTCTGTTGCCCAGGCTGGAGTGCAGTGGCACAATTCAAGGCTCCCTGCAGCCTTGACCTCCCAGGCTCAAGCGATCCTCCTACCTCAGTCCCCTCAGTATCTGGGACTACAGGCGTGTACCACCATGCCTGGCTTATTTTTTGTGGTTTTTTTTTTTTTTTTTAGAGACGGTCTTGCCATGGTACCCAGGCTGGTCTTGAATTCCTGGGCTCAAGTAATCTGCCTACCTTGGCCTTCCAAAGTGCTAGGATTACGTAATTAGTGCCCTATGAAGGCATAATATTGGCCAGGCACACGAGCCCTTATTAGACACTAATAAGGTCTTAATAAGAGCACTAATACCATTTTTTTGAGGGATCCCATCCCCAGGACCTAATTACCTCTCAAAGGCCCCACCTCCAAATGCCATTGCATTGTGAGTTAGGATTTCAGCATGACTTTTGAGGGGGACACAAATATTTATTACATTGCAAATAGTAACTTATTTATAATCCCAAAGATTTTTTAAGATGAGGCATGCATAGTTACGAAATTTCACAACACTTATCTCTCCTATGAATCACGTAAACATTTTTGAAAACAAGACTAGGGCAAGAAGTGATTCATCTGTTTTTTTTTAATTATTTTATTTTTTGAGACAAAGTCTTGCTCTGTCGCTCAGGCTGCCGTGCAGTGGTGTGATCTTGGCTCACTGCAGCCTTGACCTCTCAAGTTCAAGTGATCCTCTCACTTTAGCCTCCTCAGGAGCCAGGACTACAGAGGCACACCACCACGTCCAGCTACTTTTATTTATTTTTTTGTAGAAATGGGGTCTCACTATGTTTCCCAGGCTGGTCTCAAACTCCTGGGCTCAAGCAATCCTTCTGCCTCAGCCTCCCAAAGTGCTGTGATTACAGGCCTGAGCTACCAGGCCTGCTCTGATTCATCTATCTTTGAAGTGCCTCTAAAGTTTCTAAGTTGGGATTCTCTTTTTTTTTTTTTTTTTTTTGAGACAGAGTCTTGCTCTGTCACCCAGGCTGGAGTGCAGTGGCCAGGTTGGGATTCTTAGTTTGAAAACCATATTGAATTAATTCAAAGGAAACTTTTCATGGATTTATATTACCATTTTTCCTTGAAATCTGAACATTAAAAAAAACTGGGACTTGCTTTGTTTTTAGAATTGCCATGGGACCAACCCAGTGACAGCTGTCAGGAATATTCTGACTGGAAAGAAAAAAAAACATACCTCAACCCTTGGAAAAAAATCGATTCTGCTCCTCTAGGTAACGGATTATCTTGAGTGAAAGAGTACTGATTTCTTGAAGTCTTGTGCTATTTGAATTTTTTCTTATTTTTTTGTTTTAAACTTAGAAATAATTCATGAATCTTGTAGATAAATTGGTAACTATAAGTAAAAATTAAGGAAAAAATAACTCTTTCGTCCCAGAACTCTGCCATAGATTTTTAAAAATATTTTGGGGAGTGTATATTCAGAGCAACTTGAATCTGTGCTCTTAGGTGGCTTTTTACTTAAAAAAAAAAAAAAGTTTTCACATGTGCTATACTTTGTTACAAATAAACTCATTTGTTGCTTAATTATAGGGATGCACTCTAACAGTTGTTTCCTTAGGTGAGTTCATCATTGTGTGAACATCATAGAGTATACTTACATAAATCTAGATGGTACAGCTTACTATAAATCTAGCTATATGGTATAGCCTATTGGTCCCAGGCTGCAAACCTCTATAGCATGTTACTCTATTGAGTACTGTAAGGAATTGTAACATAATGGTATTTGTGTATCTAAATATAGGAAAAGTATAGTAAAAATACAGTGTTATAATCTAATGGGACTGTCTGTTATACATGTGGTCCATTCTTGACTGAAACATCATTCATGTGGCCCATGAGTATGTAAAATGAATATATGTATATTATTTATATGTGTTTTTATACAAAATGAGATCACACTAATATTTTGTAACTGCTTTTGGTTTTCATGTGCAGTGAACATTCTTCCATGACTATAATTGTAGGTCTACGTCGTTGTTTTAAAGGCTGTGATGATATTCTGCCATGTGGATATGCCTTATGATACTCTTTTAATCACTTTGTTGGAGATTTTTCTAAATTTTCACAGATACAAAAGAGATATAAGTATCTGTGTAACTTAATCATGACGCATACCCTTAAATTGTTTATTGAAATCCCCAGAAGCAAAATTGCAGCATCAAAGATGTAGTTTTTATTATTATGGCTTATTTTGTCAAATTGCTTCCTGAAAGTTCGAACCATTTCATCACAGTCTCATCAATTTACATTAAAAAAAAAAAAAACTAACAGGCCTTTAAATGATAGTCTTTTATTTTTATTTTAAATTTAATACTAATGAAGTTGTATACACTTTATTTATATGTTAGTTTTTTGTCAATTTTGCTCATTTTTGTCAAGCATATTTTTCTTACCAGTTTGAAGTTTTGTTTTTTTTTTTTTTTGTAACATATTGACCTTTGCACTTGTTACAAATACTTTTCACAGTTTATCATTTATTTTCATTTTGTTTTGCTATATTGACATTCAAATCTATTATCTTGTCCTTTGTGGTCCCTGACTATAATGTCTTTGGAAAGGTCTTCTACCTCTACTATTTAAAAGTTCCCTATTTTTTCATTTAATGGTTTTATGGCTTCATTTTTACATTTAAATCTTTGGTCCATTAGGAAATAATTTTGATGTAGGGAGATATATGAATTTTTTCTCAAGAAAATCAAGATACCTTAGGATGGTTAGATTACTGTCTCTTTAAAAGTTATTGGTAAGTAAATGTTCATTATAAAACTGAATAAGGGGGTCACGTGAGAACATGACATTGAAGTAATGAAATTCAGTATTGAAAACGGATATAAGGGGGTTTCTGTATCTTTTTGTTAATCTTGTCACATGAGGAGAAACATTTCCACCTGGCTCTTGTTCTCAGTTGCAAACATTTGAGAATCAGATCAAGGGAAGACTATTCCAAGATATAGACAGCAGCAGAGAAAAACCGCATGAAATTAAAGCAATAATTTAGTAGCTTTAATTCTTTCTCTTCCCCAGAAATAATATTTAGACATGAGTAGGCCAACAGAAAATGTGTTTCTTACCGCAAGCCATAGGCTTCTCGAATCTCCATGACGCTTTCATGAATGTTGTCTTAATGTTTGTTTTTAGCTCTGCTGCATAAAATCCTAGTTGAGAATCCATCAGCAAGAATTACCATTCCAGACATCAAAAAAGATAGATGGTACAACAAACCCCTCAAGAAAGGTAATATCCTTAAACTACATGTTTGTTTTTCTGTGGAAGAAAAGGTAATTGCAAAGTCATTATCACAAATCAACAACACATGATGGCTATGATCTCTGTCCTCATGGAGATTATAATGTCTACTAGGAAAAAAATATAAAAATAATTTTATTAATAATTATAAAAGGGAAAGTCAGGGTACTATAGCTAAGTGTTTGACCAAGTCTAAGGGACAGGGAAGACTTCTTCCTGAAGAAATTACATTAAATCTAAGATTTGAAGATTAAAGGGAAGCTAGCCAGGCAAAGTAAGTGGCAGATTTGATTCTGAACAGGGGAAGCAGTATTTGAAAACTCTTAGGTTTTTGAAAGTCTGATGCATTTGAGAAACTTGAAAGATCAGTATGGCACGAGCCATGTCTGCTGTGTTCATCATTGCATCGTCAGTGCTTAGCACAGTATATGGTGCACCATAGGCACTCATTAAATATTTGTTGAGTGAATGAGTGAACAGGGAAGTGGGAGAGGAAGAGAGGTGTGAGATGAGGACAGAGAGGTCACTAGTGGCCCGTTTGTGGAAGAAGACCTTGTAAGCCATGTTAAGGATTTGGGGCTTTAACTTAAGACCACTGGGGAGACCTTTGGGAGATTTTAAGCAAGAATATGACATAGTCATATCTTTGGTTTAAAAATATCTCTCTGACGACCTTCCCCCCTGCCTCCATTGTTTTTTATGAATAGGGAAAGATTCAGGGTACCGTAGGTTTTTCTGCTAGTTGTCTAGTTGTGGTAAGATGGTGGCTTGGAGTAGGTTAGGGCAGTGGTATTGGAGAAATGAGATGATCCCAAAGAAATTTAAGAACTAGTATTGATAGGACTGTTAGGCTGTGAATGGGAGGAGAGAGGACAATGACTAGAGATTATGAATGAGAAACATTCAGAGAGTTATTAAAGAAGAATTAATATTTAACTCTGTCCTCATGGACAGAAAAGAGTTAATGTTTAAAAATTCATTTTTCTTTAATACCTCTCTGCCTGTTTCTTTCTCGTTGTTCTAACTTAAAGTCCAATTCTCCCCTGAGGACACTGCTTCCTCTGAAGTGGTAGGTATTTTCTTTCCCATACCCTCATGTCCTTTGATCTGGATATGGCACAGGTGTCCTCCTTATTTTTCATTGTTACTTTCTCCCATCTTCCTGTATGTCTCTCCCCTCTAACTTTTGAACCCCCAATTAAAATTTCTGCCATACTATCATAGTCTCCATAATGACCGTTGATGTAATTTTCGTCATGATTCTTGGTGATTTAAATATTTATTTGGATGATCCTCCTAATATCCTGACTTCACTGTTACTTGACCTTCTCTCCTGTAGTGATGTTGTCTTTGAATGCTCTGCACTGATCACCAGTATAATTTTTGTGACTGCCTCCCTTAATATTTTGACTTAAACAGTCCTTTGACTCTATCTGGACTTGCAATTAATTAATTCTATCTCTTCAGTCTCTTACCTGCTCCCTCTCTAGGTCCTTGATTTCATCTTCACCTATCTTAAATCTTTAGGTTAGTCATTATAAATGACTGCTTTGCATTCATCATCTTCAATTTCCTTGTCCCTTTCTCTCTTCATCATATTTAGTGGGTAAAACCCAGTAAGTAGTTTCTGGGTTTAATCTAGTAGTTTTCTACGTACTCCACACTTGTACCTGCACAATGGTTTGCAGCAGGAGAAAAATACCCAAAAATCTTCACTTTTTCCAGTATATTTACGTTCCATGTGCTACCTGCTTGTAGCTGTTTTAGTTATTAGATTGAAAGAACATATATAGGGTTTGGTACCATTTGTACTTTCAGGCATCCACTTGAACATATCCCTCTGTGGATAAGTGGGGACTACTGTAGTCAGTTCTCAGACCTCTTGTTTTATCTCATCAGTATTTTATACAGTTGATCATGCCCTCGTCCTTTAACACTTTCTTCGTTTGGCTTCCAGGCATTACACTCTTCTGATTTTCGTCCTTCTCACTGGTCACTCCTTTTCAGTCTCTTTTGATGGTTTTCTTTCATCTACTCAGCCTCCTACTATTGGAGTTCTGTAGGGCTGAATCTATGGATCTCCTTTGTTTTCTTCTCCACACTCACTCCGTTAGTAATATTACTTGGTTTCATGGCTCTAAATAAAACTGTATGTTGATAGTCGTCACATTTATATCAACCTAGACCTTTCCTCTAAATTCCAAACTTACATGTCTTAACTGCCTTCTGAACTTTCACTTGAATGTTAAGAGGCATCTCAAACTTGATGAATTCCAAACTGAGTTACTGATCTTTTCTTTTCAAATCCATTCCTTTTCAAAGTCTTTCCCTTGTTGGTTAATGGCAACTGCATTATTCTTGTTATACAGATCAGAAACCTTGGAATCATCCTTCGTTTTTCTCATTCTCTTTTACTTCACATCCAGTCCACCAGGTAATTCTGTTAACCTCTAAAATTCTAGAATCTGATTACTTTTTTTCACCTCCACGGCAACCCTGTCATTCCAAACTACTATGATATCTTTCCAGAGTGTTCTGATTTAAAAATAAATTAGAATATGTCACCGTTCTACCCAAAACCTCCAATGCTTTAGTTCTCACCCAGAGTGTAAGCTAAAGTCAGTTGATGACCTGTGAGTTCTTACACAGTTTTGTCCCTTACATTACTTCTCTGACCTCAATTCTGCTTTGCTCCCCCTTGATCATAGCTATATCAGTCTTCTCATTGTTCTCCAAGTGCTCCAGGCATACTTCAACCTCACTGTTTTTGTAACGACTCTTCCCTATGCCTGGAAATGCTTTTTCCAATGGGACTTATTTGCATGTCTTATTCTCTCACTTTCTTTGGATATTGACTTCAATGTCATCTTTCCAATAAGCCTTTCCTGGCCATGCTATTTAAAATGATATCCCCTTCCCTCTAACACATTTCTTAAATTTTTAAAATTTTCACTATCTTGTGGACATATGCAATCCAACACATTTCTTCATTTTATTTTCCTCCATTGTACTTACCATCATTTAGCTTATTTTTAACTTTATTTGAATTTATTTTACGTTATTTTGTCTCTCCTCAGTAGAATGTAGGATTTAAGAGATCAAGGATTTTTTTCTATTTTGCTCACTGCTGAATACCTAATACCTAGAATAATGCCTGGCACAGAGTAGACCTAATAAAATATTTGAATGGATGGAGTAATAAATAAAAAGCAGGTTTTAAAAAAAAAACCTTAAGCATGTTTTAAAAAAAAAGAAACTTAAGCCTGTTTAAGTGGTTTGGGTATAGATCCTGTAGAGAGGAAGAGGCTGACAGTCTAAGAGAAAGGGAATAAGTAACAGGATCAAGATCCCTGAGGAGGTAGAAGGGTATAGACTCCAAAGCACAAGTAGAGAGATGAACATTCGATAGGAGAATGGAAGGGATGAAACGATGTATAGTAATACAAGTAACTTCGATTTGATAGGGATAAGTTGATGTAGTTTCTGTCTAATGGCTTTCTCTCTGAAATGGAAGGTGGTAGTGTAGGTACTGGATGGTAGTCTTGGGAATTACAGAAAAGTGTAGTTTTGAAAAGATCCTCGTGGAGAAAAGGAAAAGAAACTAGAGAAACAGAATTATCTGGCAATATTGAAGTTTGGCTAGGGATTGTAACCATAAATTTACAGTGGTGTCATTTTCCATATAATATTCTTCTTTGTAAAGCTTTTCCAGGGAATCAAAGAATTTTGGCTAGAACAGATTCATAATGTTTATTGCTATTGTCGTAAATTATTTTTTATTTTAAAAAGTTCTAGTCCTTTAGCCAGGTCTGTCGTCTTCATAGAACATTGTTCTGTTACCCACAAAAGATGCCATTAAGATTGTGACCTGGGCCAGGCACGGTGGCTCACACCTGTAATCCCAGTACTTTGGGAGGCTGAGGCGCGTGGATCACAAGGTCAGGAGATCAAGACCATCCTGGCTAACACAGTGAAACCCCATCTCTCCTAAAAATACAAAAAAAAAAAAAAAAAAGCTGGGTATGGTGGCGGGCGCCTGTAGTCCCAGCTACTCAGGAGGCTGAGGCAGGAGAATGATATGAACCTGGGAGATGGAGCTTGCAGTGAGCCGAGATCACTCCATTGCACTCCAGCCTGGGCAACAGAGCAAGACTCCATCTCAAAAAAAAAAAAGATTGTGGTCTGCGCATACTCCACACTTTGAACATGCCTACAGGTCATACTTAGGTATTGTAAAATACCTAATTGGACAAATGAGTCTTAGTAATTTTATAAGTTGGCCACATTTTTTATAAAATAATATAGGAAGGCTTTGTTTTATATCTTATAAAAATTTTGTGTTAAATAAATAGATTTAGACGTAGTTTTACTTCTTCAAGTTGCCAGTTGAGTTAATTTAAAAACATATTTGCGTAGAAGACTTGAGAGCATTTGTATTTGTTTTCTTTTTTAGGGGCAAAAAGGCCCCGAGTCACTTCAGGTGGTGTGTCAGAGTCTCCCAGTGGATTCTCTAAGCACATTCAATCCAATTTGGACTTCTCTCCAGTAAACAGTGCTTCTAGGTAAGACTGATAAAGATTAAGTAGTTTTTTATTGTAGTATCCCCCATGAAGAATAATACATGTATGTGTTTTTTCATAATATTCGACATTAATGAACATAATACTGTAAGCATGAGAACTTTTGTGTGATATAAGAAAGGCCTGATAGATTTTATTTTATGTATGTTTCCTTCTGTCTTAATGCCTTAGTGAAGAAAATGTGAAGTACTCCAGTTCTCAGCCAGAACCACGCACAGGTCTTTCCTTATGGGATACCAGTCCCTCATACATTGATAAATTGGTACAAGGGATCAGCTTTTCCCAGCCCACATGTCCTGATCATATGCTTCTGAATAGTCAGTTACTTGGAACCCCAGGATCCTCACAGGTGAGGGAATTTCATTTTTTTAATAAATAATGGCAGCTCTTTATTTTTTATTGTCTTAAAGTCCTTTTTTAATGTGTAAGTCTTAGATATATAACTTTTAAATCACCTGTTTTTTTTGTCAAGGAAGAAAGAGAAGAGGGAGGCCTTCATGCAAAAGAATTTTAAGTCATACTAAATAGCTATGATATTACTGTCTTTAGTCATAATGGATTTATTCAGTTGTCTTCTGTTTGACATGTAGAACCCCTGGCAGCGGTTGGTCAAAAGAATGACACGATTCTTTACCAAATTGGATGCAGACAAATCTTATCAATGCCTGAAAGAGACTTGTGAGAAGTTGGGCTATCAATGGAAGAAGAGTTGTATGAATCAGGTGTGTTTCATTGATTTTCATTATACCTTTTCCTGAAGAAAAATTGAAATATTTGAGTAAAAGCTATCATTAGTATATTTTTTAAATACAGGCGGTGGCTCACACCTGTAATCCCAGCTCTTTGGGAGGCCAGGGTGGGCGGATCACCTGAGGTCAGGAGTTTGAGACCAGCCTGGCCAACATGGTGAAACCCTGTCTCTACTAAAAATACAAAACTTAGCCAGCATAGTGGTGCATGCCTGTAATACCAGCTTCTCGGGAGACTGAGGCAGGTGAATTGCTTGAACCTGGAAGACGAAAGTTGCAGTGAGCCGAGATCCTGCCAGTGTACTCCCGCCTGGGTGACAGTGAGACTCTGTGCAGTGAGCCGAGATCCTGCCAGTGTACTCCCGCCTGGGTGACAGAGTGAGACTCTGTCTCAAAAAAACCAAACAAACATAAAAATACAAAGTAATTAGTTAATTTGAAAAAGAAACTAAATGTTGTCTACCTTAAGAAATAATATATTTTTTTAAGTTTTGTTTATTATTTTTTTTATTTTTAGCCACTGTGCCTGGCCTAAAATAATATTTCTTAAAAGACCTTTTAATTGTTATTAAAAATGTTAGGGAGCTGGAATCATTATTTTCTTAAAAACTGTATGTACTTAAACTGTAGACAATAATGGTTGACTGCCTACCATGAAAGACGAACACATTAGCAATCCCACACTTTCTTGCATCTCCCTTGATTGCACCCGTCAATTTTTATTGTTTATATTATTAGAACATAGTTATAACATTGGTATTCTAAACTGTGTTTAAGGCTTTTCAAAAAAATGTTAATGTCAATGAAAAACAAATAGGGAGCTGTTTTATATTGAAGGAGACTAAAGAGGCCTGATAGCTAAGTGCAGTGCATGGTCTTTCACTAGATCATATATTTGGAAAAAATTAAAAAAACTACCACGGACATTATTGGAACAATTGGGGAAATTTGAATATGGACTGTATATTAGGTAATGTTTTTGTATCAGCATCAGATTTCTTGGGTGTGATCATACTGTGGTTTGTAGCAGAATGCCCTTGTTCCAAGGAGAAACATGTGGAAGCAAAGTTGAAGTGAAGTGATATCTTCTTTCAGCTTAAAATAAAAAAAAAATAAAGGGCAAACAATTACATAAAGGCAAATAAACACCCACATATCTAGTAGATAAGGCCAATGAAGAGTATATGGTTATTTATTGTATTCTTCTTTCAGTTTTTCTGTAGATTTTTCAAAATTAAAAGTTAGGGGGAACTGTTACTGTGTAGAAATCTGAGGTCAGCCTGATAGTCTTCTTACTCACATAGGTGATTCACTTTTTCTCAGGTCGACTCAGAGATAAAATTTTCTTAACGTAAGAATCATCACTTTAACCATTTAAAAATGTAAAATGCAGTGCTTTTTAGTATATTCACAAGGTTATGCAACCATCACCCCTAATTCCAGAACGTTGCATCACCACAGGGGAAAAAAAACAAAACCTCTGTACCACCTAGCAGTCACTCCTTATGCCTTTCTTCCTCCATTCCCGAGCAACTTCGAATCTACTTTCTGTCTTCAGGGATTGCCTCTTTGGACATTCTATACAAATGGAATCATATAACATGTAGTCCTTTGGGTCTGTCTGCTTTCATTTAGCATAATGTTTTCAAGGTTCATAGCATTTATCAGTACTTTATTCCTTTTTATGACTGAATAATATTCCATTGTGTGTATGTACTGCATTTTGTTTATCCATTCATCCATTGATGGACATTTGGGTTGTTTCTACTTTTTGGTCTTTATGAATAATACTGCTGTGAACAATCTTGTACCAGTTTTTGTGTGACCATATGTTTTTAATTTCTTAGATATATATGGAGGAGTAGAATTGCTGGAGCATATGGTAACTCTTCATTTAACTTTTTGAGAAACTGCGAAATGATTTTTCCAAAGCACCTGTACCATTTTACATTTCCATCAGTAATGTAAGAGAGTTCCAATTTCTCTACATCCTTGCCAACACTTATTGCCTCCCCTTTTTGCTATAGCTATCCTAGTTTGTATGAAATATTATCTCATTTTGCTTTTGATTTTCCTTTCTCTAAAGACTAATGATCTTGAGCATATTCTTACATGCTTATTGGCCATTTCTTTATAACAGTATCTGGATCTTTTGTCCATATTTTAACTGGATTGTTTTTATTGTTGAGTTGTTAGAGTTCTTTGTACATTCTGGACACTAGAACCTTGTCGGATACCTGATTTGCAAATACCCCATTCTGTGGGAGAAATCTCCCATTCTTTTCGTTTTCTTGTTAGTGTTGTTTGATGTACACAAGTTTTAGATTTTGATGAATTCCAGTGGATCTATAATTTCTCTTTTGTTGCCTATGCTTTTAGTGCCAAATTTAAGAAACTGTTGCCTAATATAAAATTGTAAAGATTTATACTTTATGCTTTCTTTTAGGAGTCCCAGCCTCCTGAGTAGCTGGGACTACAGTCTTAAAGTTTAGCTCTTATGTTTAGGTCTTTGTCCATTTTGAGTTAATATTTGTATATAGTATGAGGTAGGGTCCAAATGCAAATGTTTGTATGTGAATATTCAGTTTTTCCAGCACCATTTGTTGAAGACATCTTTTCCTATGAGATGATCTTGGCACCTTTGCTGAAAACAAATCAGTCATAGATGTATGGGTTTATTTCTGGACTCTCAATTCTTTTTTTTTTTTTTCTTTTCTTTTTCTTCCCCCATGGACTTAATTCTTTATTTCATGGATCTATATGTCTATGCTATGCCACTACCACACTATTTTGATTACTGTAGCTTTGTAGTGAGTTTTGACATTAGAAAGTATGAGTTGTCCAAGTTTGTTCTTTTTTTCAAGGTATTTTGGTTATTTGTGGCCCCTTGTTTTTCTGTCTTTTAGGATTATCTTATTTCTGCAAGAAAAAAATTTGGAATTTTAAAAGAGATTACGTTGAATCTGTAGATTAACCCGGGGAATATTTCCATTTTAGTACAGATTGAGTATTCCTTATTCGAGGTGCTTGGGACCAAAAGTTTTGTGGATTTACATTTGTTTGGATTTTGGAATATTTGCATATACATATTGAGATAACTTACAGATGAGACTTAAGTTGAAACATGAATAATTTTATTTGTGGTTCATATATACCTTATACAGATAACCTGAAGGTAATTTTATACAATGTTTTAAATAATTTTGTGCATGAAACAAAGTTTGTACATTGAACTATCAGAAAGCAAACTTATCAGGTATGAAATTTTCAATTTGTGGCATCATGCCAGCACCCGAAAAGTTTTGGAGTTTGGAATATTTTGAATTTCAGATTTTAGATTAAGGATGCTAAACTTGTAATACTAACTTTTCCAATCCAATAACATGGGGCCTTTTTTTCCATTTTTTTATGGTCTTTAATTTCTTTTAAGAATATTTAGTAGTTTTCAATGTTCAAGTCTCGCACTTCCTAGGTTAAATGTAATCCTGTTTATTCTTTTTTTTTTTTAAATCCTGATGCTGATGTAAATGGAATTTTTAAATTTTATTTTCAAATTGTTCATTGATAGTATATATGCAAATGAATTTTGTGTATTGATCTTGTATCCTGAAAATTTGCTGAATTCATTAACTCCAGTAGTTTTTTTGACCAATTCTTTAGGTTTTTTTATATATTAAGATTACATTATTTGGCCGGGCGTGATGGCTTACGCCTGTATTCCCAGCACTTTGAGAGGCCAATGCAGGTGGATCACGAGGTCAAGCATTTGAGACCAGCCTGGCCAACACAGTGAAAGCCCATCTCTACTAAAAATACAAAAAATTAGCTGGGCGTGGTGGCAGGTGCTGGTAATCCCAGCTACTCGGGAGGCTGAGGCAGGAGAATCGCTTGAACCTGGGAGGCAGAGATTGCAGCGAGCCGAGATCGTACCACTGCACTCCAGCCCAGACGATAATGTGAGACTCCATCTCAAAAAAAAAAAAAAAAATTACATTGTTTATCAATAGAGATACAGGAGATTGTTTTACTTTTTTTTTTTTTAAACCTAGATGCGTTTTAGTTCTTTTTGTTTAGTTGCCTTGGCTAGGACTCCCAACATTATATCGAACAGAAATAGAGTGGACATCTTTGTCTTGTTCTTGATCTTAGGAGTAAGTTTTGAGTCTTTCAGCATTAAGTATGACGTTAGCTGTGGGGTTTTTGTTTTCATGATGAAAGAGTATTGGATTTTGTCAAATGTTTTCTCCATCTATTGAGATAATCATGTGGATTTTTTTCCCTTTTATTAATATAATATATTAATACCTTGACCTCTTGTGCCCAAGTGATCCTCTCACCTCAGCCTCTTAAGTAGCTGGGACTACAGGTGTGCACTACCATAACCAGCTAACTTTTAAAAAATGTTTTTGTAGAGATGCAGTCTCTCTGTGTTTACCAGGCTGGATTTGACCTTCTGGGCTCAAGTGATCCTCCTGAGTAGTGAATACTATAGGTGTGCACCACCATGCCCAGCTAAATTGACAGTTTTCATCAGTCTGTTTATTTTGTCTAATGTTAGTATATCTATATCAGCTCACTAGCTATCTTGTGTATTTTCCTTTTTTTAGATAGAGTCTCACTATGTTGCCTAGGCTAGAGTGTAGTGGCTACTTGCAGTACGATCATAGTGCAATGCAGCCTCAAACTCCTGGGCTCAAGTGACCCTCCTGCCTTGGCCTCGCAAGTAGGTGGGACTGCAGGCATATACCACCATACCCAGCTACCAGCTCTCTTTTGGTTATTGTTTCCATGCTCTGTTTTTTTTTTTTCCTTTTCCTTTTAGCCTATTTGTGTCTTTCAATCTAAAGTACCTTAGCCAGGTGTGATGGCTCACACCTATAATTACAGCACTTTAGGAGGCTGAGGCGGGGCAGATCACTTGAGGCCAGGAGTTTGAGACCAGCCTGACCAACAGGGTGAAACCCCCATCTCTACTGAAAATAATTTAAAAATTAGTAGGGCGTTGTGGTGTGCGCCTGTAACCCCAGCTACTGGGGAGGCTTTAGGTGGGAGGATAGCCTGAGCCATGGGAGATCGAGGCTGCAATGAGCCGTAATCTGATTGCACGACTGCTGTCCAGCCTGGGTGACAGAGCAAGACTGTCTCAAAAAAAAAAATTGCTTCTCAGCCTTTTGGCTAAGATCAAATGTAGTATCTATTCCTATCAGTTTAAAGTGCCTTAATTTATCTTCCACTTTTTGGACAGGTAGTTTTGCTGGATATAGAATTCTTAATAACTTTTGTCTTTTAGCACTTTGATTATGCCACTACTGCCTTCTAGCCTTTGTGGTTTCTGATGAGAAATCAGCTGTTAATCTTACTGAGGATCCCTTTTATGTGAGACATTGCTGCTCTCTTGCTGCTTTTGTGTTTCTCTGTTGACCACAGTTTGACTATGATGTATCTTGGTGTGAATTTCTTTGTTCATTCTATTTGGAGTTCATTGAGCTTCTCGGATATGTAAATTAATGTTTTTAATCACACTTGGGAAGTTTTTGGCCGTTATTTCTTCAGATTTTTTTTTGTACCTAACTCTCCTCTCCCTCTTGGACTCATTATGTGTATTGTTGGGATACTTGTCGTACCACAGTTCTTAGACTCTGTTCACTTTTCTTTATTCTTTCTTTATGTTCCTTAGGGACAGTTTTGGTTGCTGTTTTTCCTTTATATGGGCCATACTTTGTTTCCTTACATGCTTTGTAATTTTTTGTTGAAAACTGGACATATCGTGGCAATATGTGGCAACTCCAGAAGTCAGAGTTTCCCCTCTTGCCAGTGTTTGTTACTGCTTGATGTAGTTGTTTTTTTTAGTGATTTTTTTCTTTTTCTTTTTCGTTTTTTTTTTTTTTTTTTTTTTGAGATGGAGCTTCATTCTTGTTGCCCAGGCTGGAGTGCAATGGTGTGATCTCGGCTCACTGCAACCTCCACCTCGTGGGTTCAAGCGAGTCTCCTGCCTCAGCCTTCCAAGTAGCTGGGATTACAGGTGCCTACCACCATGCCCGGCTAATTGTTTGTATTTTTATTAGAGGTGGGGTTTCATCATGTTGGCCAGGCTGGTCTTGAACTCCTGACCTCAGGTGCCACCCGCCTCAGCCTCCAAAGTGCTGGGATTACAGGTGGGAGCCACCACACCCGGCCCTAGTGATTTTTCTGATATAATTTTTTAAAGTTGGTATTGTTTGTCATGCATGACTGTGCAGTTTCTGTCCCATTAGTTGTAGTGGTCAGCTAATGATTGGACAGAGATTTCCTTAAATTCTGTGTACCAAAAACAAAAAATTCTGCAGAGGGGTTCTGTATTTGTGTTGGGGCACACCTGCAATACTCAACCGAGAAGTTTACAACGTTGCTTCAGCCTTCACTATCTGCCTGTGCAAAATGCAAAGTTAGGGCACATGTAGAGCTTCGGGGTCTTCTCAGCTCTTCCCTAAGCACGTGGACTGCCCTGGTCATGGGTGTGTCTTTTTACATTCCCAGGAATATGTTGGACCTTTTCAGAGTCCTATTGCTCAGAAACATCTCACTCCCTAACCTCTTCTTCCAAACGTCTTGGGTAGTCTTTGCCCCAGTTGCTATCATTGCTTCAGGCAACAGAGACTAAAGCATTTTCCTGTAAGTGTTTTCCACAAATGCTACCCAGGAGCAGCTTTAGCGCAAGGTGAGTTACAGTTACAAAGTCGAAATAAAGACAAGCCTTTTTTTCTTGAGATGGAGTCTCGCTCTGTTTCCCAGTCTGGAGTGCAATGGTGTGATCTCAGTTCACTGCAACCTCTGCCTCCCAGGTTTAAGCGATTCTCCTGCCTCAGCCTCCCAAGTAGCTGGGATTAAAGGCACCTGCCACCACACCCTGCTAATTTTTGTATTTTTAGTAGAGACAGGGTTTCACCATGTTGGTCAGGCTGTTCTCGAACTGCTGACCTCAGGTGATCCACCTGCCTCGGCCTCCCCACGTGTTGGGATTACAGGCATGAGCCACTGCACCTGGCCAGGACAAGCCTTTTGATCAGGTCATTTTAGAGGGTCAGATCGGTTTAAGATAGTTTGTAAATGAGGTTTATTCTGCTCCTACCTGGACTTATACCTGAAATATGGACCGTTATTTTCAAGGCTGCTACTGAGTGAGGAGCAGGGGATGGGAACAGGGTAAGTTACAATACCAGAAAGCTCACTGTTCTTACTGAGTTTCACTTGTTTTGAATAAGTTGCTGCAAGCTTTTAGTTAGTTTACAATGTTCTGAAAAAGTTGATTCTGACAGGTTTTGGCAGGTTTTTAAAATTGCATTTGTGGAGTAATGGACTTCTGGAGTTCTTTTCTCTGCCATTTTCATTGACCTCACTCCTTGATTCACTCACTCTCAGTTCTTTGAAGTTTTTTTTTTTTTTTGTCTTTGAAGTTTAAGAGCTTAATTCAGATGTGTTGAGTTGAATATCTTGTGTTAATTTTCCCAGAACATAGTATGTTATTTCAGTGCTGCACAGTCATGGTATAGTTGTGTGTTTCCATAGTTTCTTGAAGTAAGAATTATTACAAATACTTTTTTAATTTGGGCTGTGTTTTTCAGGCAGATCTACTGATCTTAATCGGGCTTATTCATCCAGCTATAGTCATTTGATGTCTTTACTGTGGCTGGTGGTCTAAAACATCCTTACTCCCATGTTTGGAGTCTTGGCACTGGCTGTTAGCTGAGCCTTTCTTTCCGCATCATTCAGCTAGGCTGAGCGTCTTTATATGCCACAGGAACGTTCTAAAAGACTGAAAGTGGAAGTTGCAAGGCCTCTCAAGACCTTTGCCGTCTTCTAATTGCTGCTCTAGCTTTTCAGCCACAAGTCAGGCCTTTTTCTTTCTAACGTTTTAATAATCTTGTTTTTCCTCCCATTTTATTTTCATCTTTGATTGTTTCTTCTTTCAGTGGTATATTGGTACAGTACAGTAAGTTTTGTTGCTATGAGTTCATATACACTCAGTCCCTAGGAGCTGCACCCCTGTTGATGGATTGGGTTGGGGACATACATACCCACTGGGAGAAGAGAGGCTCTGGAATGAGTGAGATTATCAGCATACTTAATATTACTCCTGTTATGGAGGTAGCCAGCAAGTTTTTTTTAATTGATACAATTATACATATTCATGAGGTATATAGTGATGTTTTGATTCATATAATGTATAGTGATCAGATCAGGATAACTAGCGTATTAATAATCTCAAACATTGGTCATTTCTTTGTGATGGGAATGTTCAGTATCCTTCTAGCTGTTTGAAACTATTATTGTTAAGGATAGTTATCCTACAGTGGTCTAGAACTTACTCCTATCTAGCTGTAATTTTGTATTATTTCATGAATCTCTATCTTTCCCTCCCCTCTCCCCTTCCTAGACTCTAGTATCCTCTGTTCTGCTTTCTACTTCTATGAAATTAACTGTTTTTTTGTTTCTACATATGAGTGAAAACATGCGATGTTTAATTTTCTGTTCCTGGCTTATTTCACTTAACATAATGTCCTCCATTTCTACCCATGTTGCTGCAAATGACAGGATTTCATTCCTTTATATGGCTGAGTAGTATTTCATTGTGTATATATTTATCATATTATCCTCATTTGTTTGCTTGGCTTTTTGTTTTGTTTTTTTGAGACAGGGTCTTACTCTGTCAACCATGCTGGAGCACACTGGCACAATCATAGCTCACTGCAGCTTCAACCTCCTGGGCTCAAGTGACCCTTCTGCCTCAGCCCCGCTGAGTAGCTGGTCCTACAGGCATGCACCACCATGCCTGCTAATTTTTTGGAAATTTTAGTAGAGATGAGGTATTGATACGTTGCCCAGCTTGGTCTTGAACTCCTGGGCTCAAGCAATCCTCCTGCTTTGACCTCCCAAAGTGCTGGATTATAGGTATGAACCACAGTGCCTGGCCTACTCTCATCTCTTGTTGGATATCTAGGTTGATTCCATATCTTGGCTATTGTGAATAATGCTGTAGGGATGCAAATATCTCTTCCATATAATTTCCTTTCCTTTGGATGACATCTCATTAGTGGGACTGCTGGAACATATAGGTAGTTTTATTTGTAGTTTTTTTGAGGAACTTCCATTCTGTTCTTCATGGTGGGTTTACTAGTTTATTATCTACTCACCCATGTGGCTTAACCTTATTTTTGTTGTCTTAGGTTACTGTATCAACAACTGATAGGAGAAATAATAAACTCATTTTCAAAGTGAATTTGTTAGAAATGGATGAGAAAATATTGGTTGACTTCCGGCTTTCTAAGGTATTTTTATGTTTTATTGTATTTTTTCTGTGGAAATATTTCTATGTGAATTTTTTTAATGGCATCATGTTTGTATATATGTGACATTTGTAAATAGAAGGTTACTTGCTTTTTTCATTTAGTATTATAGCATGTGTTTTTGTTATCTGTTTTTCCCAAACATTGTTTTTTTCAAATGACGTTTTCCTTGTTATAAAAGGTTTTGTTGGACGTGGTGGCTCACGCCTGTAATCCCAGCACTTTGGGAGTCCAAGGCGGGCAGATCTCGAGGTCAGGAGTTTGAGACCAGCCTCCCCAACATAGTGAAACCCCATCTTTACAATAAAAACCAAAAAATTAGCTGGGCATGGTGGCGGGCTCCTGTAATCCCAGCTACTCAGGAGGCTGAGGCAGGAGAATCACTTGAACCCAGGAGGCAGAGGTTGCAGTGAGCTGAAATAGTGCCATTGCACTCCAGCCTGGGTGACAATGTGAGACTCTGTTTCAAAAAAAGTTTCTGCTTTTGTGAAAAATGTAGACAAGCAAAAAATGAGAAAATAAAAATAATTCTAAATTTTCAGTGATCACCATTAATATTTTGAAGCATTTTAATATTTTTCTTAATTTGTCTTTTAATAAAGATTATGATTTGTTGCAAATATTTCATTATAATTTAATGAACCTTTACCTGTTACAATAATTCTGTGATTGATATTTTATGCATAGATTTTTGTTCATATTTCTGATGATTTCTTTAGAAATTATTGATTCTAAGATTATAGTTTTACAGCCCTTGATATATAAAACCAAAATAACATTTTTCTCTATTTTCTGAGAGATTGTGTGTGACTCTAAAGAGGGTTGGAGGAGTAGCTGCTATGTTGGAGCATTTGCTGCAGTACTCTTTGTATTAGAGATTTGCTGCAATACTGTTTTTCAGATGCTTGCTATGGAATTAAATTAAGGTCATAGTATAATGAAATTCTTCTCATAACTAAAGCTGCTGGTTTTGTTCAATAGTGTTATGACAACAAGACTTCAGTTTAGTTGTATAGCTTATCGTTAGTTTCCAAACCCTCACTGCCTATGGATTGTAATGACTTAGGTCCAGATATACCAACACCTGAAACAGATAGGATGCCACCTTTATCTGCTGTCTGAGCTCAGTGCAGTAGGAACAGTGATGGTCATGAAACCACATCAGAATTATTTGTGTAACAATTTTCTCTGCCAGGATATTTGTTTTTCCTAAACAGGCCTAAAAGAAAATTGTAGCTAGACATATCTAAGGATGTTTGTCTCTTGTTACCACTAAAAAGAGATTGATTTTAGGGCATAATCTTGTTTTTGTTTTTGTTTTGACATTATTTTTTAATATTATTTCTAATATAGGGTGATGGATTGGAGTTCAAGAGACACTTCCTGAAGATTAAAGGGAAGCTGATTGATATTGTGAGCAGCCAGAAGGTTTGGCTTCCTGCCACATGATGGGACCATTGGCTCTGGGGAATCCTGGTGAATATAGTGCTGCTATGTTGACATTATTCTTCCTAGAGAAGATTATCCTATTCTGCAAACTGCAAACAGTAGTTCCTGAGTGTTCACTTCCCTCTTTAGCCAAACATCTTCCAATTTATTTTGTTTGTTCTGCATACAAATAATACCTATATCTTAATTGTAAGCGCAACTTTGGGGAAAGGATGAATAGAATTCATTTGATTATTCATGTGTGTTTAGTATCTGAATTTGAAACTCATCTTGTGGAAACCAAGTTTCAGGGGACATGAGTTTTCCAGCTTTTGTACACACATATCCCATTTTTATCAAAACATTTTGTTTAATCCAAAAAGTACATATTTCTTCCATGTTGATTTAATTATAAGATGAACCAATAAAGACATAATTCTTGTGACTTTTGGACAGATTTATCAGTCTGTGAAGCGAAGCCAGCTTCAAAACATATCCCCAAGATTTGTACTTATATTTTCAAAAGGGCCTGGCCAGTTATATAAACCTGTTTTTGAATTATAATGATTAATTAAAATTGCAAGTAGGCATTATTTCCAGTGTAGTTAGTAAAATAAATATTCGGCCTTTCAAGGAGAAGTTGAGCATAAACTCTAGTGTTTAACCTTACTCTAAAAATTATTGTTGAACATCTTAAATATTTTTCTATATTTTCTACTTTCATAGCCATATTTTAGCTAACCTTCTGAACTTACTAGTGACCAAGCTTTTAGGTGATAAAGAATAAAAGAGGGAAGGGAAGAGTAAGGAAGCTGTAAGAAAAATAGTTCTGATTCTTTGTTCCTTTACCTATTAGACTTACAAAAACTTTGTTTTTCTAATAAAATCTGTATTAACTTTGGAGTATATTAGGTTGAAGCCTTGGCCCGTGCCTGTAGTCCCAGCTACTTAGGAGGTTGAGAGAGGAGGATCACATGAGCCTAGAAATTTGAGGCTGTAGTGAGCTATGATTGCACCACTGCACTCCAGCTTGGATGAATAAACATTTTTAAAATTATAAAACATTATAAACTTAATCAGTTATTTTAATCTGAAGCCAAGAACATGTAGAATGTTATGATTAGAGTTTATCACATATTAATCTATACTGGCAAATTGTGTTACTGGAGTATACCCATAGGAGGAATAAATTTGAACCTGTTTTATTTATTTGAACTATTTAGGGTATGCCTAAGAACTGAGTCAGTATAAATTCTCAAATATGGGAGAAGTTTTGTTCTTGAGAATTATCTGAGTCAGTATCTTTCAAAAACAGTTCAAGTCACTGACTTGAACCTCTTCTGTGAACTCTAGCCTTTTACTTACTTTACATTTCCACTTGAATGTCTAGTAGGCATCTCATGACCAAAAACAGTTTTTGATTCCTGTTCTCCAACCTGTTCCTCTCGTAGTTTTCTCCTTCTCAGAAATGTTACTTCAGTTCCTCAGTTCCTTAAACCAAAACCCTAGGTCATCCTTCATTTTTTCCCCCCATTTTCTACATTCAATCCAGCAGAATCTATTCAATTTAACAAATACATTCAAAATATGTCCCACTTCACACCTCTGCTAGTACCACTCCAGTTGAAGGCACTGTCATCGCTCTGTTTATATTACTTATCCCTCAGCAGTTTATATTCCAGAAAAGCAGAATGGTCCTTTTAAAATGTCAATCAGATATCCCTTGTCCTGTTCTCAATTCACATGGCTTTTTATCACACTTAAAATAAAATTCAAAACTCGGTGTATAAGCTATACGGCTTTGTGTGATCTGTCTCAGTGTATAAGCTATATGGCTTTATGTGATCTGTTGCGGTGTATAAGCTATACAGCTTTATGTGATCTGTCTCCTGGCCACTATTTTGGCTTCATGTGCCACTCCACTCCTTGTTCATTCTGCTCTAGCCACATTGGCTTTGCTCTTCTCACAAGAAAATAAGCACATTCCTTCCTTAGGGTCTTTTCACTTGCAGTTCCCTGTACCTATAGTACTTTACTTCCAAATATTTGTGTGGCTTGTGCTTCACTTTAGGTATCTGCTTAAATGTCACTTCCTCTGCAAAGTCTTTCCCTGACTTATCTAAAATAACAACCTCCTCTGTCTCTCCTTTTCCTTTAGTTTTTCATCATAATACTTCTTACCTGACATAGGATATTTTTGTTTATTAAATTTCTGCTTCTCCCATTGGAATATGTAATATATAAGCTCCTAATATATAAACTCCTTGAGATCAGGGACCCTTCCCTTCCTATTCAGTTCCGTATACCCAGCACCTAGAAATGTGCCTGATAATATTACAGTATAGATTAAATAGCTGTTCAACAAAGAAATCAGCACTCAGTTGATCTGATCTATCCTCAGCATATATCTGGAAGCTGTCTATGTCTGTTTTCATTGTTGGCCACTCCTGTTTAATCTCCTTAATCGCCTCCCTGGATTTCTGTGATAAAAACTAGTCTTTACCCTTTCACTTTTGCCATTGCCAACTCCCTTCTTCTGAAGGAATCTTTTCTTTATATAACCCCTAAAATTTTTTTTTAATATAAATTTTCCTGTGGCCCTCTTTTTCTTAAAAACTTAAAATAGCTTCTTATTGCATCTAGGCTAGAATCTAAACTTTCTGCTATGACTTAACCTGGCCCTCCATAATTCACCCTCTGTCCTTTTTGCACATAGGATTCGAGGTAGAGTTGCCTGCCTTCTGTCTGCTAAGGCACATTTCCCTCCAGGGCCTTGATGCTTAGTGGTCCCTGTGCATGGAACCCATTTCAGTAGTTTGCACGGCTGACTGAGCATTCACATCTCAGCCCCAGTGTTTCTACAACTGAGTCATTGTCACTTTATTCTATTTTCTTCATAGAATTGATCACTGTCTGAAATTATTAATTGCCTGCCTCCCCAACCAAAATGTAAGCTTAGATTTTGCTATTCCTTTTCATCCTTGTATAACTTATATAAAAACAGAACCTGGAATATAATAGGTACTAGAGAAATATTTGTTGACTGAATGATTGAATGTTGAATAAATGAATAAATTAATTGACCATCCCATGAGGAAGATGCCACAGAATATTGTAAGGGGAAGATGAATAGATGGATAGTAAACTGTTTGCATGGGGAATTTGTATAGAATGGTGGGAAAATTTCAAGTTTCAGATTTGGATTAGCTCTGACATTTATCTGAACACTGGCAATTGCCTCAGTAAAGAGACTGATAACAAGTACCTTTTAGAGTTAATCTTTAATGCTTTAATGTGTACGAAGAGTATAGTGTCCTGTTTTACACAGAAAGGCATTCTGTAAATATAAGTTGCCTTAATTTTCCTGTAATGTTCATTATATTGTTGTGGGAAGGTATTTACTCCTATTATTAAAAATAAAAATGGGTAGAATTTACTACCTGAAGATAACAGTTCAAATTTTGATAGAAAAATCAACCTATGCTTGTTTGTGTGTGTGTGTGTGTGTGTAGTGTGTACAGTGTGTGTGGTTGTTAGGCATAATTATATAAAAGTACCTAAAATATGAACAGTTTAATGTGCAGTTGTAAAGTTAACATTCACTTAACCACAACTCAATTGTAGAAAGATCATTTATAGACCCTTAAAAACTTCTGTATGCAGTCTCCCAGCCACAGCTCACTTCCTTCTCCCAGAAATAATCACAAAATAGACTTTGGTGATAATCCTTTCCTTGGTGTTTTTTAGAGTTTTCTCAGCTATTTATGCAAATAATATCATTTAGTTTATGTATTTTAAACAGATAAAGTTTTTATTAATGAACTTTATATGATTTTTGCTGTATTTTTCATGTGTTGATTTTTCTTTATAGCCATGCTTTTGTGCATATTGAATTCATTCATTTTAATTTTTATATAGGATGGTATTTATGAACATCCCACTAACTGTTCTGCCGCTGATTGATATTTGGATTGTGTACAGTTTGATGCTATTATAAAATTCTTCTAAGAACATTCTTGTACATGTTCATTTTGTTTCGCTAGGTCCTAGAGTCTAAGGTATATATCCAGAAGAGGAATAGCTGGGTATTAGGATAGAATAATGGCAAACTATTTTCTAAAGTGATTGTACCAATTAGTGTTTCCATAGGAGAAAAGTGTACAGTTACTGGAAAAACAGTTTGGAATGATCTAAAGTATAAGAATGTTCATAGCTACAGAATGTGTTTCTAGTATTCCAAATGTTCACCTACAGTTGGTGTGGTCAGTATAAGTTGTTGTTTTTGTTTTTATTGTGTTTTTTTTTTTTCCTTTGGGACAGGGCCTCACTTTGTTGTCCAGGCTGGAGAGCAGTGGTACAAACATGACTCACTGCAGCCTTAGCCTCCCAGGCTCAAGCAGTCCTCCTGCCTCAGCCTCCCAAGTACCTGGGACTACAGGCACGTGCCACCACACCTGGCTAATTTTTGTATTTTTTGTAGAGACAGGGTCTCACCATGTTGCCCAGTCTGGTCTAGTTTTAACAAGTTGTTGCTGTGTAATGATATATGTGTGGTGTTAATTTGCTTATTCCTAAGTTTAAATGAGGTTGAGCATTTTATGACATGCCTGTTCTAGTCTTTTGCTTATTGTTCTAATTGCCTTTACTTTTTCTTAATAATTTCAGTTCTTCATATGTTCAGCATACTAGTCCTTTGTTAATTTACATATGTTGAATATATATACTCTCCCATTCTGTGGCTTATTGTTCCTTTCTTCATGGACATTTGTAATTTTAATGTCCTATGTAGACCTTTCCTCTGTCTAGTGTTCTATATTTTGTATTAAAGGAGTCATTCACTACTCCAACTCATGAAGATTTTCTTGCATGTAATCATGAATCTTCTTAAAAGCTTTATGGCTTTTGCTTTTTTTGTTTGTTTTTTAAAGACAGAGTCCTGTTGTATCTCCAAAGCTGGAGTGCAGTGGCACAATCACAGCTCACTGCAGTCTCGGCCTCCCTGGCCCAAGTGATCCTTCCACCTCAGCCTTCTGAGCTGGGACTATAGCCATGCACCACCATGCCCAGCAGATTTTTTATTTTTTGAAGAGACCAGATTGCACTGTGTTGCCCAGGCTGGTTTCAAATGCCTGGGCTCAAGCGATTCTCTTGCCTTGGCCTCCCAGAATGCTGGGATTACAGTTGTGAGCCACAATGCCTGCCTGGCCTATTTTTTGGCTCGTTTAGGTCTATAATTCATCTGAAATTGGCTTTTGTGTAGAATGTGAGGTAGAGATTAGGTTTCATTTTTTTCTTTCATATGGCTATCCAGTTTAACACTGGTTATTGAAAAGATCATTATTTTTTCACTGTTCTTCATTGATATCCAATCAAGTGTTCAAATGTTTTAATTATTTTTTATACTTTGTATTGAATCAGATCCAAATAAAGTTTAATAATAATAATCGATTGTTGTCTTTTAAGTTGCTTTTAGTCTATAAGTTCCTTCTTTATTCCCTTCTTTTTTTTCTCTTGCAGCTTATTGGTTGAAGAATCCAGCTGGTTTACTCTATGATTTTCCTGAATCTAGATTTGTGGGTTTGATTGCTATGATAGTTTCAGGTCTTTCTTCTATCTTCTACATACCCTATAAATACATTCGAGATACTAGTCCTGTGTTAATTATATCTTGTATATAGGCATTTTATAAATTTCCTAAGTACCATTTTTCTTCATGCCACAAATTTTTATGTGTACTATTTTTGTTATCCAGCTCAATTTATTTCTGATATTGTTATGACTTTTTTCTGTATTTTTACATTGTAGTTCTCAGGTCTTCATATGATTTATTTTTTGATCCAGAAATTATTTAGAATTATGTTTCTGATTTTCCAGGCCTGTTTTTATTTAAAAATTGTTTTTATTGAGATATTCACATACCTTAAAATTCACTTTTTAAAGTGTTGTACCCCCTTTAACGTGCACTTCTGTGGTTTTTAGTATGTTCATAAAGTTATGCAGCCATCACCACTCTCAAATTCTAAAACAATTTCATCACTTCAGAAAGAACCTCCACTACTCACTAGCAGTCACTCCCCACTTTTTCTTCCTCCAGTCTCTGGAAAATACTAACCTACTTTTTGTCTCTATGGATTTGCTTATTCCAGACATTTCATATAAATAGAATTGTATAATACATGTGTGCCTTCTTTCACTTAATGGTTTCAAGATTCTCCATGTTGTAGCATGTATCAGGACTCCTTATGGCTGAATAATTTTCGTGTGTGTGTGTACTGTACATTCTGTTCATTATTTGGACATTTGAGTTCTTTTTACTTCTTGGTTATTGTGAATAAGGCTGCTGTGCACATTCTTTTACAACTTGGTGTGTGTCCACACATTTTCAGTTTTCTTGGGTATGTACCTAGGAGTAGAATTGCTTGATGGTGATAGTTTCTACAATTGTTCGGTACAGGCTTCTATATATCTCCATGTAATCAACTGAGTTAATCATATTCAGATCTTATATATCCTTACTGCTTATTCAATGAATTACTAGAGAAGCATGTTCAAATTTACTATAATTTGGATTTGTGTATTTTTACTTGTGGTCCTCTTATTTTTTTTTAAGAGACAGGGTCTCGCTATATTGCCTAGGCTAGACTCAAACTCCTAGGCTCAAGCGATTGTCCTGTCTCAGTCTCCCAACTAGCTGGGACTACAGGTGTACGTCACCATGCCTGGCTAGGTTCTGTTAATTTTGCTTTATACATTTTGGGACTATTTCCTTAGGTTATATACTGATGCATACTTGTCATATCTTCTTAGTGAATTAAACCATTTATTTATTTAGAAGTAACTTCTTTATAGATATAATAATACTTTTGCCTTATTCTTTATCTGGTATTAATCTAGCCCCACTTGATTTCTTTTGGCTAATATTTATATGATTTCCATGAAAGATTTATTAACCAAAAAAAGAAAAAGTTTGTGTGGCATAACTTTTTTGAGATGGAGTTTCACTCTTGTTGACCAGACTGGAGTGCAATGGCATGATCTTGACTCACTGCAACCTCCGCCTCCTGGGTTCAAGCGATTCTCCTGCTTCAGCCTCCCGAGTAACTGGGATTACAGGCATGCGCCACTACGCCCGGCTACTTTTTGTATTTTTAGTAGAGATGGGGTTTCTCCATATTGGTCAGGCTGGTCTCAAACTCCTGACCTCAGGTGATGCACCCACCTCGGCCTCCAAAGTGCTGGTATTACAGGCATGAACCACCGCACCTGGCCTGGCATAACTTTTTGTCTTTTTACTTATACCTTTCTAAGTCATGTGTAAAATGTCCCTCTTAATTATTTTTAAAATCCAATCTGACAGTATTTGGTTTTCAATGGACCATTTATTCCATTTGCTTTCACTGTAATTACTGATATATTTGGATTTATTTCTATCATCTTACTTTGGTTCCACTGGATTTGCATTCTTTTCTACTATTTTCTTGCCTTCTTAAAAAATTTTTTGTCTTGCTTAGTATTTTATTTTTGAGACAGGGCCTCACTCTGTCACCCAGGCTAGAGTGCAGTGGTGCCATCTCAGCTCCCTGCCACCTCTGCCTCCCAGGTGCAAGTGATTCTTGTGCCTCAGCCTCCCCAGTAGGTGGGATTATAGGTGTGTGCCATTATGTCTGGCTAATTTTTGTATTTTTAGTAGAGACAGGGTTTCACCATGTTGTCCAGGCTGGTCTCAAACTCTTGGCCTCAAGTTATCTGCCCACCTTGACCTCCTAAAGTGCCGGGATTACAGGCATGAGCCACTGTGCCCAACCTTGCTTAGTATTTTTTAAAAATCATTTTATTTATCCTCCTCTACTAGTTTGGAATCTATATACTTTTGTTTTTTTTTTTTTGGAGGGTTACTCTAGATATTACAATACGCATACTAATTATAGTCTGAGGTCAGTCTCTTGTCCTTTCTGACAAAGATCTTTACACTTTTATAATTTATATACGATTGTTGTCTATTTTGATAATATATATGTGTTTCTGTGTAAATATATGTACATACATGTCTTTGAAGACATAGTAGATTTGCGTATAGTTATAAGAGTTAATACTGAGACATCCTATGCACCTTTTACTCAGTTTTCCCCACTGATATCCAATAAAATAATATAACCAGGATATTGGCATTGATAAGGTCAAGATAGGACATTTCCATAACCACCAGAATTCCTCATGATACCTTTTATAGCCACAGTCACTTTCCTCCCACTTCCTGGCAACTACTAATCTTTTCTCTGTTCCTATAATTTTGTCATTATAAAAATGGTATCTTAGCCTGTTTAGGCTTCTAGAACAAAAACATTGTAAACTGTGTGGCTTATAAACAACGAACATCTATTTCTAACAATTCTGGAGTCTGGGAAGTCCAAGGTGCCAGCAGATTCCATGTCTGGTGAGGCCCTC